CTGACCTCCTGATTGGTTGATTGAAATCCCAGAATGCTGTTAGGGGGTTTTGAACACAAGTCAGATGTGGAAGCCGTGCTGGTTACTATTTTTGTCAGTTATTGACTCATGTCAGATTTGAAGTCAAAATCAAGTTAAAAAGGACCTTGTATACATGAGAAGTAATGGTGATCGTGGTCAACTTGCAGAAGAAACCAATTTTGCAACAGAAAAAGCATGAAACCATGATAGAAGCATGAAAGCATCATGATAGAAGGTACGTGCGCCCATTTCCATACAGAAGGAAAATCTGCTGACATTGTTTTTAGACTTCATAGCCAAAATATTGTTACAACGCCATTGGAGTTGATTTCACACTCAAATCATATCTCTGTTGTATTGTATATATAGTAAATTGTATTACTGCTTTATAATATCATTTTTAATTTTTTACTTCAAGTAATAAATACATATCATGATTGCATTTTAGCATCCTCTTTTGACTTTGTTGCCGTCAGTGCATGCATGCAGTGCAAACTAACAAAGGTCTTCAAAAGTGATATCATATCTCTGGTGTATTGTATACATAGGAACGTGTATTACTGCTTTATAATATAATTTTCAATTGTTTACTTTTTGGATCTTCCAAAACTTCAACATAGCCACTAACTTCAAACATCACTCAACCCTCAGACAAAGACTGGTACACCCTAAGGACCAACCTCACAAAGGTACCAAGGCGAATGTTATTTACAGACTCAAATTTTATGCAAGTATGCCTATAAGTAATTTATAACTGAATTCTACCAGACATTGCTACATTTGTATTTTGTTTTGTATAGCACTCGAGTAACTGTCCTTAACACGCCAACTTTAATGCTGTAGTATATTGTAACGTTTTTAAAAACTGACACGTTTGTAAAATTGCCTCACAATTCAGCCCGTCACGGCTGCCAGGAGGCTTTCATGTAACAACTAAGTTCAAATAAACCAGTCTACTACTACTACTACTACCACAAATGTGAGGAGCCCAGTTGTAACAACACCTACATTGGAGAGACAAGTCGACCGCTTAAAGTAAGATACAAAGAACATTGCAGACCTAGTGCTAACGGCTACTCCTCAGCCATCTTCCACCACCTACAACACAACCAGGGTCACTCTTTCAAACTCGAGTCCACGGATATCTTAGACCACGAAACAAGCTGGTGAAAGAGGCAACATATGAAAGAATGTACAACACCACCCTTAACAGGGAAGGGGGGCTACGGGTAGATCTCTCCGGCACTTGAATTTGGCGCTCCCAGCCCTGAGGACAGACAACACTTAAGCTCCTGTTCTGCATAACAGGAGCTTTCTGACTCATTTGCATAATCTTGTCTTGACTGGTGTGACTTTTGTTACCTTTTCGACTTTCAAAAAAAATTGTCTTCACTTTATTTGCATATCAATCAATAGTTTGTGCTTATAAACCTGCACTTCTCCTCTGGTCTCTCAGTCACTGACGAAAGCTAGTGGATACTACCTGAAACGTCTGGTCGTTTCCAAAATCATATCCAGTTGCTTGAGTAACTGCTTTTTGGCGTATCGCAGCACCTGGATGTCTAACCTTCATTGACGTCGACGAGGTCTTTCCTGTTTTTTTCAGGTATCCAAAGGGTGTGACTTTGCCAATTCTATCATGCCAAAACTGCAGTTTCTGCTTAATATGTTTCAGAATGTGATATGATCTGTATTCTGAAATCATAATGGCTTGTTAGTATACATCATATAATATTTTGTTACTGTTAAACTGTTTCCATTCCAAGAATGTTGATTTACTGATTTTATATTTTAAATTGGATTCATTGTACAAAATTAATGTGGTAATAAACATCTCTATACTGTCCAAATGCTTTTCAAAATAACATTTAGTTGCTATACATCATTGTTGTCTGTTTTATATTTAAGTAGCACTATATATTTCTTTTCTTGTGGGCAGAATGGTTTTCTCGCTACAAGAAAGTTTTTTTGCTAGTTCAAGAAATCTTTTCTTGTATACAGAATGTTTTTTCCTGCTACAAGAAGAGTTAGATGTTAATTCAAGAAATCTTTTCTTGTGGGGAGAATGGTTTTCTTGCTACAGGAACAGTTAGATCTTAGTTCAAGAAATCTTTTCTTGTGGGCAGAATGTTTTTCTTGCTACAAGAACAGTTAGCTCTTAGTTCAAGAAATATTTTTTGTGTACAGAATAGTTTTGCTTCTACAAGAAGATTCAGATCTTAGTTCAAGAAATCTTTTCTTGTGGGGAGAAAAGTTTTCTTGCTACAAGAACAATCAGAAAAAATCTTGCTTTGAGAAAAATCATCTAAAGAAAGACTTTTAATAACTGTAAGAAAATATAGCCTGATTTTAGATAAATATCCTTATGAAAAGGCAAGAAATATTTTCTTGCTCCTCTCACAGAATTATTTGCTTGGAGACAGCAAAATTTTCTTTATACAGGAAATATATTCTGTTAACAAGAAAAATATTTCTTGCATTTTTGGTAGTGTACCTGTCTGTGCACTAGTACAGCATGATTTCGATTATTCAAGCTAAGTAATGCTACCATTCTAATTAAGTCTGTGCTATGATAAAAAAAGGGAAACGTCAATAGCAACAAATCTCATATATCTCTACAAGATAAATAAGAACATAGCAAAAAAGAATCATGACAAATTGTTGTAATTGTTGCTGCTTACTGTGGTCCCACAAAGCTGTGGCATGTACAAATGTATAATGCTTCTTTTACATCTACAAGAATATCATGATTTTAGCTTCTTGCAGATGAAAGGATGGCTCCACTTGCACTGGCTGTCATTCCAGCCTCCTCTTCCCCAACTTTTAAGAAAATTACCGCCACGCTGTAAGAAATGTTACGTAAAGAATACGTAATAAGAAAACTGATACAAGCGTAAACCAATAATATTCAAAGAAAATAGTAAAATACTTAGGTTGCAATAGAATATATATTATAGTTAAAAGAAACATGTGGCCTTAGAGGTAAATAGTTTATATCAAATAACTACATAAAAATGAATAATATGCTTTAAATGTGTAAAAATGTTTGGCACCATCATGGAAAAAGCAACAATATAATGCATTTTTGTTCATTCTTACACAAACACACTGATAAAATCAAACAACAGTAACTATGGTGACTTCTAGTACTTATCTCATGCAGGTCTTTGAACCATTGTTTCCAATGAAAGAAGACGGAATCCACCTAAACATTCCATGCTCCGAAGATAAACAAATGCATTTGTGTTACCTGCCCATCAGAGGTCTCAGTACTGTTCTGTAATAGAAAGGGAGCACCCACCTTAGAGTCCATGTAAACACAGTTTTCTCCACCTTTGTTGTAAGGCTCACCAGGTCTCCAATTTTCATATGTGAATGGTGTCCCATCCGTCCATATCCAAGAGTTTCGACCTCTACGAAGCCCAATCCATACAGTTTTTGGGGCTGCAGGCAAGCAACACATGGCAACTTGAACAACAATTCTGAGGTATTATGAAGCAAGTTTAAACTGTAATTTCCAACACAACAAATCGGAAAATTTGTATGTGTACAATTTGTTGTGTTGGAAATTACAGTTTAAACTTGCTTCATAATGATTTCTACTAACACGGATGAACTTTCAAGATAATTCTGAGGTATGTCCTGTATCGGAGTGAAATGGCAGAAGTTAAGGTGGCAGAAGTTGTCTGAAGTGGAGTGGGCGTAACGGTAGAGTGTTCGGCTCAGACCCAAGAGGTCCCGGGTTCGAATCCTGCCCAATGCCACTGATCGTGTGCCCTTGGAAAATGCACTTTACACGACTTTTCTCACTTCACCCAGGTGTAAATGAGTACCTAGCTTCGGTTAGGGACGTCCCTCGCATAGGGCGTTAAATAGAGCCACGCCCCACGTTCAAACCTTACAGTCTGCTCTTACGCAGCATACACTTACATGTACAAAGCTCGTGTGATACGCCTATAAAGGCGTACTGGTTATGCGAAACAAAGGAGCAAGCAAAGTTGTCCGAAGTTACGACCATTTCCAAGTGGTTTGGGACACAGGCGGGGTAGGGTGGCAGTTGTCTGAAGTTATCTGAAGTTACGTGACTTACTTGACATCAAAATCTAACTTCTAACAACTTAAGACACCTCCCGGGTGACTGTCAAAAGTTAGGTTTAACTACTGGACGTGTATGACAATTCTGAGAAATCATTCTACTATAATGTCTCCTCCTGCCGTTAGGGTTGCTGAATCTTTACGTCTATTTCAACACTTAACAGTTAATATGAATTCCTACCTCCAGTTTACTCTCCAAGCAGAGGTTGTGGGGGAATGAGCGTTAGCTTTTTATATATGGCCGTTTTTTTTTGTCGCTACCCCCACCAACCCTCCCTGGCTATAAATGGATACGGTCTTGCCACCGAAAGGGATCTGCTTGTAGAGGGACATCATTAATTTGAGACAGGCGAAAAGAGTGGGGGGTGGATGCACCCAAGTGTGTCACTGTATCAACCGTTTCTTTCCAGTCTTATGCAGCTTGTACTTATTGTGCAACTAAACTGCTGTGTTATGCTACTCTCCAAGCATAGGTTTGGGTTTGGGGGTATTTTTAACGTGTTTTTAGACATTTTTATCAGGGTTTCTCTTTTGCACTGAATTTTTGGGTTTGGTGGGAAAAAATTCATTGCAAAAGAGAAACCCCGATAAAAAAAACCCTAAAAACACGTTAAAAATACCCCCAAAATCCAAACATTTTCTTGGAGAGTAGTGTTATGCCTAAGTGCAGTTTCATGGTTAATGTGCAAAACAAACAAGAAAACAAATACCTCTAGACTAAACGACGTAGTACACGAGGGGACAGTGTATTCTTGAAAATACAGTTGGTAGGCGTACCCTTAATTATCTGTAAGAATCATAATGAATGCTTAATTGATGATGACGAGGAGTTGCTTATTCAATACCCACCTTTCGAGATGAGTTTTACAATAAAACTGTTTTCCTCACGGCTTGTGATGGAGGCCAGGTTTGCACCTCGACGTCTACAGTATGTGTCAGCTTTGTCATAGTCGAGTTTATTTCTCTCAAACTTGTAGCAGTAGATATTGTATCCAGTCCAACCACCCCTGCATTGTCCTTCTGTAGCATATAAATAGTAAATGCAGTGAGTTCATCATCATATATTATCATGCCATTGATGCAGCCAGAAAATGCCTCGTTTTTGCCTCTTTTTCACTTTCTCGTACACTCATTGACGTCTGTGTAAAGAAGAAAATATTACTTATAACATAATGATCAATATATTCAGCAATCTAATAAAATCTATGAAAACGAAACCATGGCAGCACATGTATACATGTTAAGAAAGTATTAAAGTAATAAAATATAGGTACAGAAAGAAATCACCTTGCTGACAGTTCTGTCCAGTCCATCCAGGTGAGCAGGTGCATTTGTATCCGCCATCTTTGTTCACGCAGGTTCCATGTCGGCATGGTTTCCTGGTGCACTCATTGATGTCTGTGGGATTAAGAAAGAGTTTAATCACCATTCATACAAATCCTATTATCAATGAAGAGGGAGATTTTGACAGAAAAGAAATCCATGGAGATAGGAAAATCTATGCTTTCAATGCTAACCTAGCAACATGTACCGATAAATTAAAAGAACCTACCTTGCTGACAGTTCTGACCAGTCCATCCAGGTGGGCAGGTACATTTGTATCCGCCATCTTTGTTCACGCAGGTTCCATGTCGGCATGGTTTCTTCAGTTTCAGTTTCAGTTTCAGTTTTATTGCAGTCAACTTGCCTGTACAAATAAATTTGTGCCATGAAATACGTTGACAGTTACATCAAAATGCAGTAAAAACACTGGGCTCTCAGGAACACAATTTAAAACGGTACATTATTATATTAAAAACGGACATTGTTGTACATATATAAAAACAGCTAAAAAGCGAACAAATATAAACAGCAAGTACAATGTATATCAGTTCTCATCGCTTAGCTCATGTTGTACAGCTTAATGGCTCTGGGGAAGAATGACTGTTCATGTCTCTTAGTACGGCTATGTGAAGTCATGACATGTCTAACTCGTCGGAGGTCATAGCCACTATGCAATGGACAGGATATAAAACAGTTCAGTGGGTTATCCTTATCATCTAGGATACTCCGGAAGACACGTAGTGTTGCCTGGTCACGCCTGGACGCCAAGGTAGGTAAGGAGTTCGTAGGGATGCCCATGATTCTGCAGCAGCGCTTTTGTACTCCTTCGAGAATGTGAGTCAGACGAATGGGCAGTCCTCCCCATACAGGACTAGCGTATTCCAAGATCGGGCGGATGAAAGACAGATATATCTGAGTGAGTACGTCCGGGGGAAGTCCAGCTTTCCTGGCGGCAGCAAGATAATAGATTCGGGGTCGGGTCTTGGATAGCATATACTGAACATGAGCGTCCCATGTAAGGTCAGCAGAGATTTGTACGCCAAGTAGTTTGAACGAAGTAACCCTTTGGATCTGCTTGCCATCTACAGTAGGGTGTGGGGGCACAGGGACATTCTCCCTTCTCCTCGCGCTGACGATCATGTCCTTAGTCTTATCCCCATTAGTTGCTAGCGAGAATGGCACGGCCCACTCGGTAATGGCGTCCAGTGCCCTTTGTGTTTGGCCAGGAAGCGACCCCATTAGGTATTCACTGTTTGTTAAATCGTCGGCGTATTTGACTGGGAACACAGAGGACGGTAAACAGGTGTCTAACGAGTTGATGCAAATGACAAAGAGCAGTGGGGAAAGCAAACCACCCTGAGGCACACCCGCTAAGACTTCACGTGGTTCAGACAAACATGCTCCCCACTTGACCCGTTGGGTCCTTCCCTCCAAGTAGCTGTGTATAGACAACCACAGATCCCGCCTTACTCCAAAGTCAGCCAATGTTAGTAGTAGCTGACCATGGTTTATCGTATCAAATGCGCGGCGGAAGTCAACAAAGACTGCATGGATGTCTAACTTGGGGTTGCTGTTAAGTGCATCATGCCATCTCTGAAGGATGTGGATCAAAGCTGTAACGGTGGACCGCTTTGGTAGAAAACCATGTTGTGATTGTAGCAGGGTATTCGCGGTGTCTTGTAAGAGTGAATCACGCAAGAGGCCTTCATACACCTTGCCTACACAGCTGACCACAGATATCTGCCGGTAATCCGTAGGAAAGTGCGGTCTTGGCTTCTTGGGGACGGCTGAGACACGTGCTTGTTTCCACTCCTGTGGGAAGGTACAATGTTGCAGACAGCAGTTAAACACTTCACACAGAACAGGTGCCAGTTCCTCGTGAAATACCTGTAGTACCCATGGAGGAATGTCGTCTGGGCCCGCAGCTTTCCTTCCGTTCACTCTTCGCAGTCTGGACTTGATCTGACCGATACTGAAGGGAGTTAAAGTGTTCTGTGACAACTTATCAGAAACATCCTGTTCAGTAGGTACAGTTCGCTCAACCAGGTTCCACACAGAAGCAAAGTGATCAGAGAGTGAGTTACATTCTTGTTGCAGAGAATGAAGATCGGAAGATTGGGTATTACTCTTAGATTCACCCATTCCTATCAGGTTTCTGACAGACTTGTACCACTGACCCGAGCTAGAGTGCTGCAACTGGTCCACCTCATTCTGATAATACCGACGTTTTGCATTTCTGATCAGCTTGGCTACAGTAGAACGGAATTTGGAGTATAAGGCTGCGTCGCCCGAGCAAAACGCGTCCTGCCTTTCCACAATGAGCTGTTTTATGTTGTTAGTCATCCACGGTTTATCGTTTTTGGTGACTCTGGATTTCTTCTTGGGCACAGACTTGTCTAGCATTTCTTCCAGAAGTGAGGAGAGGACAGCGATCTTCCCCTGAGGATTAGGTGCGTCAAACACAGGAGTAAAGTCGGTTGTATTCATGAGCAGCCCTAATCGCCTCATTCCATCTGGAGTGCAGCGTCTACGTGTAATGTACTGTGGCCGGTTAACTGACCATAGACCTGCGGACAGCAGAACAACTTGGTGGTCTGATGTGCCGATCGGCGGTAGATGGACAGGAGGTGAGTACAGGCCTTGCACGTTGGTAAGTATGGAGTCCAGCTGGTTGTGACCCCTAGTAGCACGGCTGACAACTTGCTTCAGTCCAAATCTAGCACATAAGGACTGAGAATTGTACTTGTTGGTGTCACCCAGAATGATTATACCAGGATGTGAATAGTCCCGCTCGATCTGCTCAAGACAACGACCGAGGTAGTCATTCACTTCGCCATCTGTTTTGTGAGTAGTGGATGACATTGGAGGATTGTAGAATGCTGCGACAATCAGACAATTCAGACCACGGGGAAGTCGAGTCGGCCTGACCCATAGCCAGAGGGCTTCATGTTCACAACTCTCGAGGTCAGACAGTCTTTTGTGCCGAAGTTCAGGAGAAATGTAAAGGGCAACTCCTCCTCCAGAACGTAAGACACGATCACGTCTGCACTCATTGATGTCTTATGATAAAGAAAGAGTTTAATCACCATTTATAAAACAAAACTTATTATCAAGGAAGAGAGAGATTTTGACAGAAAAGAAATCCATGGAGATAGGAAAATCTATGCTTTCAATGTAAATGCTAGCTACATATACCGATAAATTAGAAGAACCTACCTTGCTGACAGTTCTGACCAATCCATCCAGGTAAGCAGGTACATTTGTATCTGCCATATAGGTTCACACAGCGTCCATGTTGGCATGGATTTTTGCTGCACTTATCGATACCTGTGGGATAAGGAAGACGTGTAGTATATATCAATATATCTTTACTACTTGAGACCACTCAAGTGAGTAACATCACGAAGTCACAGAAATCACAAGGTCACAGACAGAACTAAGGCGCGCGACAGCATAAAGACATACTATTAAAAAGAAGTCACCTTGCTGACAGTTCTGTCCAGTCCATCCAGGTGAGCAGGTACATTTGTACCCGCCACGTTTGTTCACGCAGGTTCCATGTCGGCATGGTTTCATGCTGCACTCATTGATGTCTGTGGGATAAAGAAAGAGTTTAATCACCATTCATAAACAAAACCTATTATCAAGGAAGAGAGAGATTTTGACAGAAAAAAAAATCATGGAGATACGAAAATCTATGCTTTCAATGTAAATCCTATCAACATGTACCGATAAATTAGAAGAACCTACCTTGCTGACAGTTCTGACCAGTCCATCCAGGTGAGCAGGTACATTTGTATCCGCCATCTTTGTTCACACAGCGTCCACGTTGGCACAGGTTTCTGATACACTCATTGATGTCTGTGGGATAAAGAAAGAGTTTAATCATCATTCATGAACAAAACCTATTATCAAAGAAGAGAGAGATTTTGACAGAAAAGAAATCCATGGAGATAGGAAATTCTATGCTTTAAATGTAAATCCTAGCTACATGTACCGATAAATTAGAAGAACCTACCTTGCTGACAGTTCTGTCCAGTCCATCCTGGTGAGCAGGTACATTTGTATCCGCCATCGTTGTTCACACAGGTTCCATGTTGGCAGGGTATGCTGATGCACTCATCGATGTCTGTGGGATAAAGAAAGGCACATATTCATATTAAATAAAATGCAATATATATATGAACGTCAGACCTCTAGCGTGAGCGACATCACAAAGGCATACATCAGAAAGAAGTCACCTTGCTGACACCTCAGTCCAATCCATCCAGGTGAGCAGGTACATTTGTATCCGCCATCTTGGTTCACACAGCGACCATGTTGGCATGGGTTTCTGTTGCACTCATCGATGTCTGTGGAATAAGGAAGACGCGTAGTATATATCAATACATGTATATCTTATATATATTCGATCCCACTGAAGTGAGTAACATCACGAAGTCACAGAAATCACAAGGTCACAGACAGAACTAAGGTGAGCGACAGCACAAAGACATATTATTAAAAAGAAGTCACCTTGCTGACAGTTCTGTCCAGTCCATCCAGGTAAGCAGGTACATTTGTATCCGCCATCTTTGTTCACACAGGTTCCATGTTGGCAGGGTTTGCTGATGCATTCGTTGATGCCTAATGATCAAGAAAGAGTTTATTTCTAAATTAATCACCATTCATAAACAAAACCTATTATCAAGGAAGAGAGATATTTCGACAGAAGGAAATTTCGACAAAAGGAAATCTATACTTTCAATGTAAATCCTAGCTGTAGATGAAATAAACAGAATAAACCTTGCTGACAGTTGTGTCCAGTCCATCCAGGTGAGCAGGTACATTTGTATCCGCCATCTTTGTCCACACAGCGTCCATGTTGGCAGGGTTTGCTGGTGCACTCATCGATGTCTGTGGGATAAAGAAAGACACATATTCATATTAAATAAAATACAATATATCTATGAACGTGAGGACTCTGGCGTGAGCGACAACAAAAAGGCATACATCAGAAAGAAAACACCTTGCTGACAGTCCTGTCCAGTCCATCCAGGTGAGCAGGTACAGTTGTAGCCACCATGTGTGTTCACACAGGTTCCATATTTGCATGGGTTTCTGGCACACTCATTGATATCTGTGAGATGTGAAAAGAACGCTTTAGAAAATCAATTGTAACACCAAATATTTGAGAACAGACCTAACCAAATCTTCAATTAACTTTTACACCGACCATGCTGACAGTTCTGTCCAGTCCATCCAGGTGAGCAGGTGCATTTGTATTCGCCATCTTTGTTCACACAGCGTCCATGTTGGCACGGGTTTTTGATACACTCATTGATGTCTGTGGGATAAAGAAAGAGTTTAATCACCATTCATAAACAAAACCTTTTATCACGGAAGAGAGAGATTTTGGCAGAAAAGAAATCCATGGAGATAGGAAATTCTATGCTTTCAATGTAAATGCTAGCTACATGTGCCGATAAATTAGAAGAACCTGCCTTGCTGACAGTTCTGACCAGTCCATCCAGGTGTGCAGGTACATTTGTATCCACCATCGTTGTCCACACAGCGTCCATGTTGGCAAGGTTTGCTGGTGCACTCATCGATGTCTGTAGGATAAAGAAAGACACATATTCATATTAAATAAAATCCAATATATCTATGAACGTGAGACCTCTAGCGTGAATGACAACATAAAGGCATAAAAAGAAATCACCTTGCTGACAGTTCTGTCCAGTCCATCCAGATGAACATGTGCAGTAATATCCGACATCTTTGTTCACACAGCTTCCATGTTGGCAGGGTTCGTTGTAACACTCATTGATATCTGTAGAATAAAGGAAGACAAATAGGACATATCAAGTATAACTCAACATATCTCTAAACTTTATACCTCTAAAGTGAGTGACAAAGTGTGTACAAAAAACGGCGTGCGTTAGCCCTTACCTGTTGTTGATACAGGCGTGGTGGTTATTGGTTCGATTCCAGGTGAAGAACTGGCTTTTGTAGGTGCCTCAGTTGACTCCCCTTTCAAAGACAAGAGGGATGAAGTCGAGTAAGAAGCAGCAGTGACATTTTCTTCCTTGAATTTGAACGTTGCCATCCATGGAGTATCAGACTTCCTCAGCATTGGTGTTGAGCGGAATGGAGTCGTGTTGGAGAGGAATTCGAACGAGTCGTTTTCCTTGTAGAAAATTGTTGACGCACGGGCGCTGGAATTTGTCAGCCTCAAACCGAGCACATTGTCCGGTTTCAGAGCATCTTTCGCCTTCTGTTAACACATATAACGTTACACTTAGTTATTTCCTTGGATTTGTTGGAAATTTCTGTATCCCCAAAGAGGACAATATGATAACAAAGGACGAGGGAGAAAATTTGTGCACCCGGTACAGATTTTGCTCTCCGAGCCTCTTTTTATTGTTCATCGTCCTTTTAGCATACCGTTATTTTCCTTATTATTATTATTTATTTATATTACCCCACAACCAACAAAATTTGATTAGCGTATCTCAAAATAGGAAGTAAGAACTAAAAAAATCAAGCAAATATCACCAAAAAAAGGTTGCTTCCTTATGTCACAGAATCTTGATTTGTCCATTCTTGAATGTAAACATATTTTGATGTGTATGCTACACTATAAAATTAATATAAAAAGCGTTTGAGGTAACGCCTTGTGCAAATGATTTCGTTTAGTAATAGTCTGTATCCCCAAAGAGGAAAACATCAAAACAGAGGAGGATAACTTCCATCTTATTATATTTACTTTATTGCTGTAAACTTTCACGCTGGTCAAAATTTGGCCCCGATCTCCCCACCTGCAGTAGAACCCAAACCATGTTCGATCGGACGTAATTCGAATAGAACGGTGTTGGAAATGGGGTCACCCGCGGTAATTTACAGTAAGCCTGGGTCTTCCGGCCCCTTTTTACATGACTGTGTACCTCCTAACAGAAAAAAATCACCTTTTAACAAATATAAACCATTTTCTGGACAACTACATGTCTGCCTTTATTTTGTAGTGGGCTGGAACATGAAACATATCCCATTGACGGCTCAAAATGACCGTATCGGGTTAGTCCAGAATCATGTCTTAGGGATTTTCGAAAAAGGACCTTGATTTTGAATTATGAGCAATTGCGAAAAATGTCAAAAAATGTCGTTTTTTCACATTTATGTCGACAAAAGACACGATTTTTGATATTATTCCTAGTCTTTCGGAGGGAGATTTTTAAAAATTAGTAATTTAACGTAAACAACTAACATTAAACCTATGTAAAGACGATGATTTTATTTTATTTTGACGGAATTTACCCTTCAATACTATTTGATTATTTTCAATTGGTTTACGGGTAGTTCAAAACGGCCAAGCTTGCGTCTCGTAACCCGATACGTTTCCGAACCCCCCTAGCAATGGGAAAGAATACCGTAGCGACAGACCGCAGTGTTTGTGCACAAGGTACAGAATTTGCTTTCTAAGGCTCTTTTTTATTGCTCACGTTCCATTTTAGCATACCTTAGTTTTGTTTTTATTATCCAAGAATCAAAATTTGATTGGTATGGCTTAAAATGAGAGGTAAGATCTTGATAAAAAAATCAAGCAAATATCACCAATGGGTTCTTCCATATTTTATACCATCTTGATTTGTCGATTCTTGAATGTAAACATATGTTGATGTGCTACACTATAAAATTAATATTGATAGAGTCTGAGGTAACGCATGTGCTCTAGCTTTGTGGAGTCAATTTATTGGAGTAAATATTGGCATATTCAAATTGTCCTCCGATTCCTGATTTTTTAGACGTCCTATTGCCAAAAGGTAGCTTTAGAATGTTAAAAGAAAGAAGAAATTGGTATGGCCCCTTTCAAATGTTTTCTTCGCCGAACGGTAACTGTCTGACTTACCTTACTTCCAGGTTGGATGTATGCTGACAGGACTACAGCTGAGACGACTGACGCAATCACTAGAATTCCACATCCCAGGAGGACCCAACAGATCTTGCTGGATTTTGCCTTATTCCAAATGCCCATGATACGCTCTGGGGTTCAATATACAATTTTTTTTACTGTTTGTTATTTTATTATTTGCACAGCAGCAATAAAAAATATACATAATAAATTAATAATGAATAAAACAGGTGCAGGAGGAGGGAAAAAAAGCTTATTTAGCTTATGCTACGCCCTCCTCCTCTATACTAACCAAAAGTAAACATAATTGAATTGAAATAAGACATACATACATAAGGAATTGTTATCAAAACAATTCAAACATGGGCAAAGTGATACAATGACAATAATGAAACAATAGTTTACATAAAAAATAATAATAACTGAAGATATGAATCTAATACAAGGGGCTGGGGTGGTTTATAAGATGGCTTTCAGGGTATTTTTAAAAGTAAGAAAAGAGGAAATTGTTCGTATGTTTGTCTGAAGGCTGTTCCGTAATGAGACACATTTGTATTTTACGGAGGATTGTGCTAATTGCGTTCTTACAAGGGGAATATGGAAATGGAAAGATTTAAAAGACCATTAAGTGTGTCTGGAAGAAAACAGTTTAGGAATTTAAACGTAAATAGCATCAGGTGAAGTCTGATTATATCAAAAATATTTAAAATCTTAAGTTTTGTAAACAAAGGTGCAGAATGTGCGTGGAAACTGGCACCGGTGGCTGAACGAACAAATCTTTTTTGGAGTAATACTAGGGGCTGTAGTGTGGTTTGTAGGCGCATCCCCAGACTTTATTCCCGTAGGCTACATATGGGTATATTAAGCTATTGATTTCATTGCGCAACGAAAAACAACATATGAAAATATGAACAAATCTATCCGTAACTAATTTCATCAGGTTGGTAAACGACTGAATAGCAAAATTCTTTTTCTCACAACCATTTATTTTTCTAAGCCGACGTTTCGATGACCTTCTGTCATCTTCATCAGGGCAATTCTGACTGGTTTACTGTGCACTGACACTAGATGTTACTTGGTGCATAGTGCACTAAAGGTGTTACATACTTCATAGTGCACTTAATATAAAAGCTAGTTTTTTTCTGTTTACAATACATTCCGGAACGTAGTGTAATTGTGACACACATACTGGGCATTGTTACATCATAGGGAAATATGCGGATCCAAATGTAAAGTGTTTCTATATATAATATAAGATTTGTTAACTGACAACACTGAGCTATCACAGTCCCAAATAGAAATTATTAAAAGTCTTGTTACATATGTATTGCTAGGAATTATAATAATTACAAACAATAAGAAAACCAATGTCAGTTATTGAGAATGTGATCCCAAACATGACTAAGTTTATACCCCCTAGACTCCTTAATCCAACCGATACATCTGTTGTCCTCTCGGTCTATTACCTTGGCCCCGTCCCAATCTATTACACAGTTATTTCTTGTAATGTGATCTGTGACTGCTGACTTGTTTTCTTGTTTTTCAGCTTCTTTCTTTCTTGCTCTGTTGTACCTTCCCTTTTTGACGCTGTCTGCCTCTTTCCTATGTTCTTCTAGTCTGCATCCAAATGTTCTTCCTGTCTCCCCTATGTATACCGTCTTGCAAGTCATGCATGGTATCTTGTAAATGCAATCTGTTTTCACTGAGTCTTCAGGTTTGTCTTTTGCTCTGGTGTACCTTCCCGTCTTGACGCTGTCTGCCTCTTTCCTAATATGTTCTTCTAGTCTGCATCCAAATGTTCTTCCTGTCTCCCCTATATATACCTTCTTGCAAGTCATGCATGGTATCTTGTAAATGCAATCTTTTTTCACTGAGTCTTCAGGTTTGTCTTTGGGATGTACCAGTAGATTTCTTAAGGTAGTTCTGGGTCTGACTGCTGTAGCTATGTTGTGTTTCTTGAATATTCATTCCAGTGGTTCCAGTCTTTCCAGTGACTCATTTTATATAGGGTAGAGTCACTCTACCTTTAGACTTCGCCTCCTGTTTCTTTTTGTCTTTCTTCTGTTTGGGTCTGCTTTTTTGATGTTCTAATTTTCCGAATGTCCAGTCTAGATAGTTACGTAATATTCAAGAAACACAACATAGCTACAGCAGTCAGGGATAACCTACTGGTACATCCCAAAGACAAACTTGAAGACTCAGTGAAAACAGATTGCATTTACAAGATACCATGCATGACTTGCAAGAAGGTATACATAGGGAAGACAGGAAGAACATTTGGATGCAGACTAGAAGAACATAGGAAAGGGGCAGACAGCGTCAAGACGGGAAGGTACACCAGAGCAAGAAAGAAAGAAGCTGAAAAACAAGAAAACAAGTCAGCAGTCACAGACCACATTACAAGAAATAACTGTGTAATAGACCGGGAAGACAACAGATGTATCCGTTGGATTAAGGAGTCTGTATGGATGAGAAAATCCAATCAAGTCATGAACCGTGATGAGGGGGGGGTATAAACTTAGTCATGTTTGGGATCACATTATTAATAACTGACATTGGTTTTCTTATTGATTGTAACTATTATAATTCCTAACAATACATATGTAACAAGACTTTTAATAATTTCTATTTGGGACTGTGATAGCTCAGTATTGTCAGTTAACAAATCTTATGTTATATATAGAAACACTTTTCATTTGGAAC